AGAAAGCCTGGGAGCTTTGGCTTTGAGGTGCAGTTGGTGGCACAGCCTGGCCACTCCTTGGGCAGCCAGAGCTTTCTTCGCTGGAACATTTTCCCCGAGAGAAATCTTCATTTGGATGGGTTTTGGGGCGGGGGGGGCCGGCACTGTCGTCCCGGGGCTGACCAAAGGGATCAGCAGGCCCGCTTTTTCGGTCCCCGAAACCGCCTTTTCTCCCCCTCATGTTCCCCTGGGCCCCCCCACACCCCCCTTTTACCCCCCCCCCCAAAGCCCCTCTTCTGCCACTCAAGCCCCCCTGGGATCCCCAAACCCCTTTCTCTCCTCCCCAAACCCCCTTTTCTCCCCCTCAACTCCCCCTGGGACCCCCCAAATCCCCGTTGTCTCTCCCCTAAATCCTCTTTTCTCCCCTCAACCCCCTTTTTCTCCCCCTTAGCCACCCTGGGACCTGCTAGACCCGCTTTTCTGCCCCCAAACCCCCCTGGGACCCCCCAGACCACTCTTTCTCCCCCCAAACTCCCCTGGGAACCCCCAAACCCACTTTTCTCCCCTCCGGGCCCCCTTGGTGGTCTCGGGGGGAGTAAAAGGGGATTTGGGAGGTCCCACGGGGACTTGAGGGGGAGAAAAGGGGGTTTGGGGGGGTTCCAGGGGGTTAAAGGGGAAAGAAAAAGGGGTTTGGGGGGTCCCAGGGGGGTTTCAGGGGGAGAAAAGGAGGTTTGCGGGAAAGAAAAAGCGGGACTGCTGATCCCTTTGGTCAGCCCCGGGACGACAGTGCCGGCCCCCCCCGCCCCAAAACCCATCCAAATGAAGATTTCTCTCGGGGAAAATGTTCCAGCGAAGAAAGCTCTGGCTGCCCAAGGAGTGGCCAGGCTGTGCCACCAACTGCACCTCAAAGCCAAAGCTCCCAGGCTTTCTGTCCTGGGCAAAGGGCTGCTGATCCCTTTGGTCAGCCCCAGGGCACCGCGGCCGGCCCCCCCGCCCCAAACCCATACAAATGAAGATTCCTCCCAGGGAAAAAAGGCGCCAGCACAGAAAGCTCTGGCTGCCCATGGAGTGCCCAGGCTGCGCCACCAACTGCACCTCGAAAACGAAGCTCCCAGGCTTCCTGTCCTGGGCAAAGGGCTGCTGATCCCTTTGGTCAGCCCCGGGCCGCCGGTGCCGGCCCCCCCAGCCCCAAAACTCATCCATTTCAAGATTCCTCCCAGGGAAAAGGCGCCAGCACAGAAAGCTCTGGCTGCCCACCGAGTGCCCAGGCTGCGCCACCAACTGCACCTCAAAGCCAAAGCTCCCAGGCTTTCTGTCCTGGGCAAAGGCTGCTGATCCCTTTGGTCAGCCTCGGGCCGCCGGTGACGGCCCCTCCCGCCCCACAACCCATACAAATGAACATTCCTCCCGGGGAAAAGGGGCCAGCACAGAAAGCTCTGGCTGCTCACGGAGTGCCCAGGCTTCACCACCAACTGCACCCAAAAACCAAAGCTCCCAGGCTTTCTGTCCTGGGCAAAGAGCTGCCGATCCCTTTGGTCAGTACCGGGTCGCCAGTGCCGGCGTCCCCCCGCCCCACAACCCATACAAATGAAGATTCCTGCCAGGGAAGATGTTCCAGCACAGAAAGCTCTGGCTGCCCAAGGAGTGCCCAGGCTGCGCAACCAACTGCACCCAAAAACCAAAGGTCCCAGGCTTTCTGTCCTGGGCAAAGGGCTGCTGATCCCTTTGGTCAGCCCCGGGCCGCCGGTGACGGCCCCCCCGCCCCACAACCCATACAAATGAAGATTCCTCCCAGGGAAAAGTTGGCAGCACAGAAACCTCCGGCTGCCCACAGAGTGCCCAGGCTGCGCCACCAACTGCAACTCAAAGACAAAACTCACAGGCTTTCTGGGATCAGTAGCATTTTCTCCAGGATAGAAAGCTAGGGGGGTCAGCACCAGCGGTCCAGGGCTGACCCAAGGGATCAACAGCCCTTTGCCCAGGACAGAAAGCCTGGGAGCTTTGGCTTTGAGGTGCAGTTGGTGGCGCAGCCTGGGCACTCAGTGGGCAGCCAGAGCTTTCTGTGCTGGCCCCTTTTCCCTGGGAGGAATCTTCATTTCTATGGGTTTTGGGGCAGGGGGGGGCCGGCACCGACGTCCAGGGGCTGACCAAAGGGATCAGCAGCCCTTTGCCCAGGACAGAAAGCCTGGAACCTTTGCCTCTCTGCTGCAATTTTTGGGCCAGCGTGGGCACTCCTTGTACACCAAGAGCTTTGTGTCCTGGCATCTTTTGTCTGGGAGCAATCTTCATCCATCTGTATTTTTGGTAGTCGGGCTGGCAGTTTGTGCGTAGGGCTGAAAAAATCGAACAACGTCTCTTATAAATTTGATTTTAGCTGAGATGCAGATTGGGGCTCATGTGTCTGACCTGCCCAGCTGGGAGCCCTCAGCACTGGGGCAGTGAGCAAAGCAACCTCCACATCCCTGAGCCATGTGGGAACAGTACCTCTTGTGGCTGTGTTGAGTGAATGCCTCGGCCATCCCCAGAGCAGCAGGTTGGTGCCTGATCCCAGGTGACAGTCCAGGGCAGCCTCCAGAGGCAGCCACTCCTCCACAGCCCAGTCCAGCACGGAAGGAAAGGAGACTTGGAGAGGAGTCACACTTCTGGTGTGCAGCTTTTGTTCTGTGAGTCACCGAGGGCCCTTTAATAATGATGGAAATTTTTTTCTGTCATGTTTAGAATGATTTGAGATTTGTGACAAGGGGCTGAAAAGCAGCTGAAAAGTTTATTTATTTCTTTTTAATGGTGCTGAAAAGCACCTCCAGCTGTTCAGCTTAACCCGGTGTAGTAGGTCCCTGCTCTTCAGCCTCTGTTTCATGGGATTTTAATGTCCTTCAGAGGGCAGGCACCTTGTTGGGTGTGCTAATTAACAACTCTAGAATCACACCAGGGGTTTTGAACATTAGCACATCTCCAAGTTGCTGTTTTGTTTTAGTGGAAGGGTTTTAGAGCCTCCCAAACACGGGTGGGATGCAGCTGAGGTGGCACAGACTGCACAGCACGGACTAAGTGCTGGAGATAGGCTTTATCAGAGAGATCCATATGTTCAGAGGGAAAATCTGCCAGCTTACACTGTCCATAAGGTACTGTGAGGAAAAAAAGAGTGAGGCAGTTTTCACGAAAATGAAAGGTTTGGTTTTGCGGCATAAGTGCCAAGGAGGCAGAAAATGTAAGTTCAGTGGGTATGTTCTGCTTAGGAATGTACAGTCTGGGGCAGATGGGCCTGAATCACTTGAGAAACAGCAGTGACCCTCTGTAGGAATATCTGGAAGAAAAAGGCCTCCGAACAAAGTCTCTGGGGAACAGAATGAAGATAAATGTGCCTGGACACTTCTCTACATTGTCCAAGAGGGAGTAAGTTTTCAAGACCATGTGGGTTCCTTTCTTACTGTCTCACTTTTGCAGCAGATTTCTTGCCTTGTTCTCCTCACCCCAAACTGTACTTCCACTCGGCATTTTCATCTCAAGGAGCACTGGCTGTTTATTTCTTTAAAAAGTCACTGTGGGAGAATTCCAGATGTCTATTCTCTTTGTCTGGAAAATCAAGAGGCTATGAGCTGCTAGAAACAGGACTGAGAATTTTTTCCCATTGCTGATGGTGAACACAACACTTCTTTTTAATGGCTTTGGCTCCACTAAGTAAAGCAAAACCTAATGGGCTGTTCAGATGGGTTTCACTTTTGAGAAGTTCAGGTCACAGAAAGTTCCATGGGCCAAAGAAAGGTGTGGGGCAACCCAGGCTGTTTCACCACTGGATGTCATGCCTGGCCCACCTGCCTTGGGTTACCAGTGTCTGTGCAAATAGTTCATGTGCAGTGTTAAAGGTAGACCCCAGCAGGGTGTTCTCACACCACTCAATGTTTGCTGTTAGAAAACTCTCCTGTTAACAAAAGAGGGCAATAAAACTCTCTCCTGTCAACTTTAACCTGAAATGAAAACACAGCAGCGCCTGAGTGTGACAAAAATGGCAATGCTGCCTGCAAGTTTGGGGGATGACCTTCAGTGCCTTTGGGGACAGGCTCTTCCTGACCAAACCTGCACTGGCAGCCGGCAATGCCTCAGCTCCAAGCAATTTCTGTTATTAAAATTAATTAAAGTGCTTACAACCTGCTGTGATCTGAAGTGCCTGTCTGTCTCCCTCCCTTTGTTGCTGTTGTTACTGCTCACATGCGAGGGGATGCCTGATCTTTAATAAACTGCAGGATCTGCAGGAGCTTTGGAAGTCCCTGGCAGAGCAATGTTAATTTGGGAGACACAGCTGAATTTTTGAAAGGAAGGTGACTGAACTGTCCTAGTTAGTGCTTTTGCTGACATTGGAGCTTCTTAGAAAACATGCTGAAAATCAGAGGGCTGAGTTTTGGGAGGTTGCTGATGGTTATGCAGGACTCGGGTGGGTGGTTCATTGTATATAACTGTATTGGCTTCATGCCTTTGGAGTGGTGATTATCAGGGTGGCACCTTCTTTGCCCCCTGAAAGGATATCAAATGGACAGTACACTGAAGGGGAAGCAGATGACAAGGTATTACCTACCTGCAAGGTGTTATTTATCTGCAAGTGGCACATAAACACCCTCCTGGGGCTGTGAGGGATGTCATGGTTCCTTCTCCTTCTGTCACCACTTCTGCAAAATGTAGCCTGGCAGAGACACACTGAGTGATAAAACTCTTATCACTCCAGAGGGTACTGGCAGGAGCCTTCCAGCTCTGGGGCTTTCAGTTCTACCAGATAACAGGACTTTGGGGGAATCTTTTGAGCTCCAGGAGGGCGACTGAACAGTCCCCATAGGGCTTGGGCTGTTCTTGACTCTGCACCCACATATCAGGGAACTCCTGTGAAAAGAATTAAATTCTCCCCCACTCCCTAGCGCAAGAATCAGGGATAATCCCTCCTCTGAGGCTGTGGCAAACAACTTTTCCTCATGAAAAAGTTCTGTTATGTGGGACCTTCCAGAGCAGGTAGTCTGAGATCTCTGCTCCTGTCTCCTGCTTGAGCATCCAGTGAGCTCAGTGAGGCTCTCCTGGCAAGCTGAGAGAACACATGGCCCCAAATGACTGTAAATCAATCTGATTCCAGTTCCCTCCGCTGCTCTTGAGCAATACAGGTGGTACTGACTCGAGTATATACACCTCACTGGCAACACCACTCATCATGCTGCGATTACACCCGTGCCAAGGCCTCAGAGTGGGTTCTAAGAGGTGCTTCCCTCGTTGAATCTCAGCACCTGAATTTAAGGCTGACAAAGCAGTTGACAAAATTAACCAAATCCTAAAGTTGTTAGGGAGTTTAACTAAGCTGTTGTCTAGTAAATAATATTAAGAGGTAGCTGAAATCTTCTTTCTCTTGGCCTTGGTCACTACCAGTGTCTTTCTCAGCCTGCTTTGAAACTAATTAAACCTACCCAGTGCAGGTTGGGGGCAGTAATTAAGGAAAATACATCATCTGTTTCTGAACAAAAATGTGCAAATTGCTCAGTTTAAAGCAAAAAGAAATTGAAAAAAAAAAAGATTAGGAGCAACTAGGAGTGTCGTGCTGGGTCTGCTCGTTTTGTTCCAGGGAGTGTTAGAGCACCTGCTCCACAGGCATGACATTGGATTTGTGCTTCTGTGTGGTCTCTGGGCCAAACTTGCTGTAATTCTTCAGAACACAGAATACATTCCTCCTTCTGCAAAGAAATGGAAACTGTGTTTTCAAACAGAGCAAAATGAACTTCAGCATTCTTATGGGAATCTAAGAACCGGTTAAAAAGGCAGTTTTCTGTATTGAATCAACATTAGAATTCATTTATGATCAAGTTAAGATGTTTTATTTGGTAACAGGGGAAAGCTAAGAAGGTTTAAATGCTCCTTCACACAGTTTTCTTCCCCCTCCAGCCTTTTATGCCTTTTTGTGTTTGTAGCAGCTTTACTTATCCAACTCCCTGGAAAAACAGGGAACAAAAGATTATACAGAAGTTTTCAAAAAGAAAAAAAAAAGAAAAGTTTTCTAAAAAGCCCAAATCTGAAAAAAAACCCCAGAAATTCGTGAAAAGTTATAAAATATGATGTAGTTTTCATATCAATTTATATTCAGCTGCTTTTAATCAAGCTTTCATAATATTTATGTCCAGTAAATATATCCTGTACTTAATAGCTGTGTAGAGCTTTTGCCAGCCAAGAGAAAGGTCATGTTCACGTCTTGGTAGCATTCTAATTCCATGAAGCAAAGATTTTTCTCTCCTTACAATTTTTCTTTCTAATGACTTGTGAAACTTTGCAATGTTCTGTCGAGCCTGTCCTCAGGCAGCACAGCTCAGGCCTGGTTTACACCCAACCACATGTTAATTCTTAAGTACCTTGGAAATGACACCCTGTTTACTTTTGAATTTTGTTCAGTAGAAAAGTAAATAGGGCTGTGATTTTAAGGGCAGTGGCTTCAGACAGAGTAAGTGCAGGGCTGTAAAATGTTAGTCAATATTAGCAGAATAAAGACATCACTCAATAAAGATTTATCTGGTCTTCAAATGGCTTAGCCAATTAAAACCCAAAACAAACTAGTAAATTTTTTACAGTATTCTATTTAAAATCCCATGGCTGTCACCAGGGTGTCTGAGCACCTTCCAGTCATGGACAGCTTTCATAATGGTGGGGAATGTCCTCTAAGGTTTAGCAAGAAACTCATCAACTGGACTTTTTTTTTGTCACTTGGACTCTTGCTCAGAAAAAATCACTGATGTTCATGAAGAGACTTAGATTCATACTTGTTTTTAAATACTGGCTTAAAATCTTCTTATTTTCTTGCTAACTGTAACTTCAGAAGAATTTAGCATCTGATACAGCCAAGATACAGAATTCAGTGCTGTGGGGAGCTGCTGGAGGTTTGCTAGGTGGTGGTTTTTGTTCTCTGATTTAATACCCCAAAACATTAAGTGACCCTGTGTGTTTGGAGATGCCCCATCCACAGCAATGTGGAGCTGCAGCCCAGGTGTCCTGCAGGGATTTTGCAGGGATGGCTGTTGGCTGGGGGGTGGGGGGGGGCTGGCAGGATTCCCATCCCAGTAATTGCTTTCAGCACTCCTGGGATGTACCCTGCTGCTCCAGTGGGATGCAATGTGTGTCCTCAGTTCCCTGCCCTCTATTGTCCTGCAGTCCTGCTCTCATGTCATGTTCCTATGGCAATCCATTGTGCAGCACAGCCTGGTTTCTCATGCTGAAAAAACCATTATTTTCAGGTAAAGAGGAATGTCTAGAATTGAGTTAAAAGCCTGACCCTGAGCTCTCTGAAGAAGGAGGTCACACATCTACTCCAGATGCTCTGCTGAAGGAGCTCTGACCTCTGCTCTGCCCTATCCCTCCATTTAGATCTGAGCATTCCTGGCTGCCTCTGCAAAGCTTGAAAATCCTCCTCAGTGGCCTCCTTCAAAGGAGGAGCTGTGCACTGTCTGTGCTCTTTCCACTGCTGCAGCCTTTCTGTCTTGCCTCAGTTCAGGCCTGGCTGTTCATCCAGGGGCATGTTAGAGCAGCCAGGAATGGGATGAACGCTGGTTTGTAGCTTCAAATGTCCCACACCAGTGCCTGGAAAGATGGGATAAGCAGGTTCCATCCCTCCTGCCCTCTCTTATTTCACTGTTTTGCCTTATTGTCTCCCTGCCCCGTGTGTTGATGTGTCTCTCCTCCAGCGCTCAGCCCTGGCACACCTTCATCCCAGTTGTTCTCTAGTTGTTCCTAGGGCATGGCATCATGATAAACCCAAAGGCTGGGTGTGTGCAGGGCACGTCCTGGCACAGGGGTGCTGGGGAGCATCACTGGCAGGTCCCCACCGTGTCACAGAGTTGTTGTCCCAAGAGTTACCAAAAATGGATAAACAGCAATTCAGGGAATGCTGATGTGGGCTGATGTGTGTTATGTCAAGGAGCTTCCTTTTTGCCCACTCGGACTACACTTCTGCTTTTGGGAAGGCTTGGTGTAGGTGTTCTCTCTCTTTCACTAATCATGCTGGTGTATTTACAAAAATTTTCCACTTTGTGTCTTGACCTTTGAAATCTGGAGGCAAGACCCAGGAATGTTTCTTCAGGCTGCCTTGTCTTTCCAGTCACACTGTCCCTTCTTGTTAATACATCACTCTAGGACTTTAGATGGGAGTTTTTGTGAGGTGGCAGCAGTTTTTGTGTAGGCCTGTTTCTGTGCAGCTGTGTCTGCAGTGATGGTGCTCCCAAAATCCAGCAGCAGCAGCAATGTAGGAAGAATAGTCTGAGCAGGATTTTCTTCTGTTGGTGACAGCATTCTCAATCCATATGTCCTGAATTGCTTTCCTGCAAAACTGCTGCTGCAAATTCTGCTTCTGAGTTACCTTCCTGGAGTGTTGATTCCTAGTTTTCACAGTAGCACTTCAGCTT